TATTTTTCATGGTTGCCAAAAAATCTATAATATGGACGAGTGAACCGATTTAGAATTTTTAGTAAACTTTGCCCCGTTCTCCAGTCAAATTTTCACCAGTGCCTAAACTCAAATCCACTCATCTGTTAACACATGAACTGTTTTATATAAATTTGGATACAATTTGGCAGGATACTGTAGCGGCTCCGAGGCAGCTACGGTGCTGTTGTTTGTTCCTGATCGGTTAAATAAACGGATGGCTTAACCGCCAGCTCCGGAGAGGACCACATGTCGTGTTTCACGATGCCCGGCTAGATACTGGCCAAATAAGCCAGTTCTAAAATTCGTCAACAGTGTCGGGAACAAGACCAACAGACCCGAAAGACTCAAGAAAGGAGCGAGCATACCCACCGAAACCCCAAGATCCTTACTAACGAGTCCGAAAAACATCACAGAAAGCAATCCCTCTGACCCATCAATTCGAGCTTGATTTAGAAGACGAGTAATACAACCAATTCAAAAACAAAAATACTAAACATGACGAACGAAATGTGAAACAACCTTCAGACTCTCTCAATCAAAACTTACTAACACTGAACACTGATTTACCTTGTGAGTTGAAATTCTACATCTATTCAGTTTGGTTTTATCGATAGGGTTTTTATTTACATATTTACAAACTTGATCTTGGCCGGCCTATCTTCTGTTCCCCTCTAACTGACTAGTGCGGTCGATCGACTATTCGCCTAGCGCGCTATCATTGTGTGTCCGTGCTAACGGCCTTGCATGCAAGTGCATACGTTGGCAAGCTTTGCGGGCTTTTGCCCGGCTTATGCCGTCGTTGTAACTTTGCAACTTTGTACTTTCACGTGGTGCCGTGAACCGGTCTGGGTGACGGGTTGCCGAGCCTCAGTCAGCGAATGGTGGCTTACTGGACGTTAGCCGGAATGCCTTGGTAACGCAGGCAACTTCCTTCCAATAGGCAATGGAAGCTTTGATACCCGAGCGTGGTGAGGGTTGGCGACGAGAAACAAAGCCGCGGTGCGAGGCCAATTGAGGCAGCGCTATTGATGAGCGGTCGGTTTGTTGGCTGTCGAGCACTAAATAAAACGAACACGCGGAAAGTCGTTGACCGTGAAAACGACACAATTAACATATTATCGGCACACACAAATTTCGTAGACTGGTTTTACCTTGCAGTTATTTGGAACGCTTACACAAAACTCGCACAACAATGATCGCACTACAAACCTATCTAGCTTTAGCCTATACGGGGAACATTAAGAATCGATTAAAATAAATCTGAGGACACTTCACGTTTTCCTATCACACTCAGGATCAAAGTGAAAGAGGTGATTACTGATTTTCCTCAGAAAAGTCCCAAGGCATGATTACCGGAAATAGAAGTTCAACGGATTTTGATAGTCACTATTGTGAGAGATCAAATAAAGTATCTCTTTCCCTCTTCAATCGAACTCGGTCTATCTATCTTGTTGCCTTCTACTGCTAACAACTTTCAGAATTATCCTATCCGGGTTTCTCTATACGAGTAACGAAAAACACGAATAATGAAACTCTTCGGAGAAGCTACGTAAGCAATACGTTTTCGCTAACCTCTTTAAGTGTAGGCAACTGACTTGCATACAAGTTACAAATTACAATTCGTTTCATTTAGCTTAAGTTCAGTCCATTTCAGTTAATATTATAAATTGAACGATGATTTGGCCTCATGCCACTACTCCAAGGACGTGCTGAAGTGGTATGCGGACAATAAGGTCAATTTCGTGCCGAAAATGTTCAACCCTCCCAACACTCCGGAGCTCCGCCCCATCGAGAAGTACTGGGCGATTATGAAGCAGCACCTTCTTAAACGACCTAAGGTAGTGAAGACAGTCGAGGAACTGAAGAAAGTATGGGTTTACATGCAAAAAACGGTTGATTCACAGGTTGTGCAGAATCTTATGGCCGGGGTTAAGGCCAAGGTGCGGGCATTTGCGTATGGACTGTAAATAAAATACGAGTAAAATGGTAAAATGAAGTTTAATAGTTATTTCTCAATCCCTGAAAATTTGATGGCAATCGGATGAAAACTCGAATTTTGCGAATCAATTTTGTGTGTGGCAATTTCATCGTGGACACCCTTTAATTTAAGAATCGGTATTTTGCACTAGTTCTATTCAAAATTTTATCTTCACTATAATGAAAATACCTCGGCCCAGTAAGTAGATAGTCAATTTGGGCGTGGCATGTCTTTAATCAGTTTTAGCATACGTTGTATAGATATATATAAGTTTTGGATATTTTTTATAGATGAATAGTTGGTCTATTGAAAAAGAAAAATCGGAATCCATGAATCGTGCTCCACGTTAATGTGCGTGTTTAACCCTTTATTGAAGACCAGAACTGAATTCTACGACTCAATTTTCCCTAGATGAAAAAATCAGGGGTAGTCTTTCGAATGGTGATGGTATTGAGGATGACATTTTTTTTTTAGTACAAATGTTGTTCCAGCACCATGATGAGCGTCGCATTTAATGTGGAAGTCGTAACAGCGTTCATTCGAGAAAACTACATGGGTTCAACAAAATACCTGAAAAGCCACAGAAAGAACAAAACGAAGATTAATTGGCGCTGAATAATGAAGCAGCGTTATAGTTACCCAAGTAACATTGATAGTTTAATCGAGGTTTTAAAGCATTCTACAAGTCTAAATCATGGTCTACAGAACCCTAATAAAATCCAAATTGTTACTTGGGTAGTTCATTATTCCGTTTCCGGTTGTGTGACCTTGAACTTGACCTAAATCTATCCTGAACCACTATTCTATATTCTGTGAAAAATGACGTACAATTCAAACTGATAAGAGACATCTTTTATCTACAGCTAAAAAAAAAATTAAAATTTCACTACACATAAAATTTAATTAAAATAAAAACTTTTATCTGAAAGCAACAACGCACGAAATTATAGTCTTGATAAGAAATGGTATAATAAAACTATACGTAAAGATGATTGCCATAAGTTGCGATGCATAAATGCAAGCGACTTTTTTACAACAAAGTTCTGCAGCTGCTAATTGCCTTATATTGCATATGTAACTTAATGACAAGCAGCCACTGGCAAAGCGTGTACAGAACTTAAAAAATATAAAATCTTATTTTTTCTAATTGATTTTATTGGTGTAATTGCATCAAAAATAAGTTTTAATATATCCCGCTAGTTCTGTCATTTGCATTACGCGAATTTGTTTGACACAAACAATCTTCCAAAACATAATGATTAGCCATCTTATTGAGTACTACCAACAATCAATACGAAACTATCGATTTGAAATTGGCTCACTAGTTGACTAGCCTATTGGTCCCAAGCAAATCGATTAACGTACCCCATTCTAGTTGAAATTCTAGTACTACACTATGTTTGTTTTGATTCTCTATGAAAGTTTGACAGATACAATGAGGGGTTTCGTGGATTTTCCTATGTTTCGAGGGGTGCATCGATTAGCTTTGTAGCGAAGATAGTACCAGAGCTGAGCCAACAAGTTGAGCACATTTCTTCGGGACCTTCTAGTCTTAGAGTTACTTCTTACTTTGGCTTTAGTACGTCCCTACTGTGACTTAACGCCGGTTCTTAACTTTAAGCCTGCAGTAGCATGATGTTGTCACCACCTCCAGCATGGTTTTGCTTTAATGCTGCGCCTTTACCGACTGAGCAATGGGAAGCCCCCACTTTAAATCACATGAATATTTTGAAAAAAAAACTACATCATCATTGATTCGAATGTCATGACTTGATTGAAGCTTGATTATCAGATACCATAGATCACAATATTAGAGATCATATTGATGATGCACCCGGATATCAACTTCGGCAAATTTTCGCCGCCAAATTTTGCTCAGCTGAGATCCCCAGAAACAAATTTTACTGAGATCCGCGATTACGACTTACTGAAAGTGAATTTCCTGCAAAGTACATTGAGGCTCTAACAACATCAATTCACAAAAACGATAACGTGCGGATCACAGAACAGATGACAGTGGAAAAACTCAGATGATTTAGTTTTCCGGATAGGTTTGACTTATTGGGTCTTCTCGTATCTTACAAACTGTAGTGCATCTGTCATTCCGATCCGTTTCTCATTACATCAGGGATGCACCTCGGGCCTCTTCTCTCCGTGATTTTTGTGAATGGTTTTTGCAATGGATTTAAGTCATTTAAAGTTATGTACGCGGAAATCTTGAACATCTTTCGCGTCGTAACATCTCTAGTAGACTGCTGTGCTGTTTTAAAATGGACATCGAAAGCATCATGAATAGAAGTGTCTGAAATGGAATGCAGGTGAACAGTCAGAAATGTAACGTTATCACTTTTACAGGGATTCACTCACCGATAGTATTTGAATATTCAGTTCATGCTGCCTCTGCAGCACGAGTCTCTTGACTTACTCTCGACTGTAAGCGGCGATTTACTGAGCACATCTCATCAGTATTAACAGCAAACACTTACGAAGGATTAGGTAGCATAAATTGTTTCAACAAATAGTTTTTTTGAATCAAAAATATGGTTCGAATGCAAACGAGAATATGGATTATAATACCTCTTTCATTAAATCGCTGATTGTGACTCTCTAAAAGCTAAATTGGTGGATTTTATGTGTAAAACACATACGTTTCAAACTCTACTTGTAAGTTACAGGTACAAAATATCACTATAGCATCGAATTCCATAGTACCGAAACACATTTTTAATAGCGAAGTGAGTCGAAGCAACCCTGCTTACGTTTACATTGAATTCATTGTGTACCATTGTGCATGCCACACAATGGACAACATCATGCAACTTTAAGCATAAACAGCTTTCAATTCAGAAAACTGAGATGTGGACAGACATGAGTTCTAATAAAGACGGGAGCCATGGAGAAGAAGAGCAGCCCATAGAAAATTTAAATATTTTATTCTTATCCTGCCAATAGTTTAAATAATTAACAAATTTCAATTTCTTCATATAAAATATGATTTCAGATCGAGCGCGAGAAGGCCGACCTCAGCGTGCAAGTCATTCAGATGTCAGAGCGCCTCGAGGAGGCCGAAGGTGGTTGCGAAAGTCAGGTTAGTTGATGAATCGCTCTTCAGGCCGTTACAAACCACAATTAAATGAATCCTTTCTCAAACTTTGTCAGCTGGAAATCAACCGCAAACGTGACGCTGAACTGAACAAACTGCGCAAGCTGCTCGAAGATGTGCACCTGGAATCGGAGGAAACCGCTCACATTCTGAAGAAGAAACACCAGGAAATTGTCGTTGATTTCAGCGAGCAAATCGAATCACTGACCAAGACCAAACAGAGGTGGGTAATTTTCACGCATTCCATTCTGTCGCCCACACGGGGGGAAAATTGCGCTCATAATACCTACTGTCAACCGTTTAGAAAGCGTAGGAAGCTAAATATTCATTATGTGATTCATCATTTCGACCTCGTTTCACACTGTTTGCACCAGCTGCAAGGAAACACCTAACAGTGTCGTGTGGGTGGGAAATTTTGAGCCTCTTCCAATAAAATTTACTAGCTGAAATCAGCAGTTAGCGTTTTCTGGACCTTTCCCATTCTATTACAATTCTGGTCCCGTTTTAGCATTGCATCGAAATTTTAATCACGTTCCATCTTTGCACACGTCACCTTCGAACTTTTGCTCGGTGAGATTGGTCATCACAAAACATGCTGGTGGAAAAATGAAAAAAATCCAACCTCACACGGTTATTTTTCATATAAACATACACAATCGGTTCGTTTTAACTTGACGCCTAGGTTTAGAGAAAAACTACGAGAACATCTCTCAAACCAATGTTAAAAATAATGACAATGATGATCACCACGACGAGAGAGTCTCTCGCGTAAACACATCTTCCTCGCATCAGAGTCGTTAGATGGAAACGAAAAATCTGCGCTAATTTTAGTCACATGCTCGCACGTAGGTTAGACCTCGTATGTTTGACCAGTACTGCTCCCGAGCAGGAGTGCGAATTCCAGAGTGACGTTAAAATGATGATTCACAAACCCCCGTCTTGGGATAAATATTATCTTTAAAATGTTGAACAGCGTTCCTTTGAAACATCTCATCAATAATTTCACCCCTTTCACTGACTCGTATTCTGCTTTTCATCAACAGAGTTGAGAAGGAGAAGTCCAAACTGCAAGCCGAGATCTACGAGCTGCTGTCCCAGATCGAAAGCGTTTCTAAGGATAAGACCGTCAGTATTAAGACTATCGAAAAGTTGGAAGTCCACGTGACCGAATTGAACATTCGCATCGAAGAGCTGAACCGCACCATTGTTGACATTACCTCTCACAAGACTCGTCTATCCCAGGAGAACATCGATCTGATCAAGCAGGTTCAGGATCTAAAGATCAACATTGAAAGCATTAGCTTCTCCAGAACGCAGCTCAATACTCATCTCGAAGATGCCAGACGCCGCCTCGAGGAAGATGATCGGCGCCGTTCCATACTGGAGTCGACCCTGCATCAGGTCGAAACTGAACTGGAGTCGGTCCGTCTGCAGTTGGAAGAAGAATCTGAAGCTCGTTTGGATCTGGAACGACAGCTGGTGAAGGCTAATGGTGATGCCTCTACCTTCAAGTCGAAGTACGAATCTGAATGCATGGCTCGCCATGAAGAGATTGAGGAAATCCGTCGCAAGTACACCATCCGCATCCAGGAATCGGAGGAACACATTGAATCACTTCAGGCTCGTTTGTCCAAGCTGGAGAAGGAAAAGAGCCGCATGTCGAGTGAAATCGAAATTCTCCTTATCGACTTGGAAAAGGCCAACAATGGCATCCGCGAATACACCAAACGTATCGAAATTCTCGAGAAAACAAATATCGAAATCAAGACCCGCCTGGAGGAAACCATTACCCTTTACGACCAGTCGCAACGCGATCTGAGACAAAAGACCCAGGACTATCAGCGCCTGAGCCACGAACTGGATGCGACCCGCGACCAGAAGGACCAGCTGTCCCGGGATAACCAAAAAATGCAAAAGGACTTGCACGAGGCCCGCAGCACCGTCACCGAGCTGACACGTCGCCTTCATGACTATGAAGTCGAGCTGCGTCGATTGGAGAACGAACGCGAGGAGTTGACCGCCGCCTACAAGGAAGCCGAAGCCGTAAGTATTGATAATATTGGATCAGCAACCAAGCATCTACTGAACCATGGATCGTTTCTTTAGGGACGCAAAGCTGAGGAGAAGCGTGGCCAGGCTCTGTCCGTTGAGTTCGGTCAGTTCCGTCATACCACCGAACGTCGCCTGATGGAGAAGGACGAGGAAATCGAAGTTATCCGGTAAGTTTTTATTGATATACTAAAAACTAGATAAGTGCTACTGATCATCGTTTGGCAAATTCAACCTGAAAAAATTACCAGAAACTTTAGTAATTTCAACAGAAGCATCTAAAAAAATTGAAAGTTCATTAAAGATGTATGTCGGATATGACAATTCTCAAAAAATAAACACATAAGTGTTTAGCTATCTACTGTCAATAACACTCCATTTATCAGTTTTACAGTTTGCAGGGATATCGAGCTGTGGATAGTTGACTGAAAAAAATGCTCATTTTCTTCAAAGCTATTTACTACCATATGAACAACGAACATATCAGAATTTGTTTGATTTCTGTATTTGAAGCTCAATGTTCGTTTGATAATGGTGAAAACATAAATTTATCTTTTTTTCTGGAAATGCTTCCTAAGCATTTGAAAGCGCTTACATTTCTCACTGTAAAACATCGTCGCTCAAACGCTACCGCCATCTGTTGAGTACACTGTTAACAGATGGCGTTAGTGTATAAACGTCAAACGCAATACAATTGACTATGCGCGCCACAGGTGGCGGTACTACCAACTAAGAAACATTGCTATGTTTGCCTGTGGTTTAAATGCTTTATTTAAATGTTTTATAGAAACTTCTTGTAGAAGCTTTTAGATGTTCCTTAAAGAAGTTTTATAAAATGAACATATTAAAGCTTCTTTTAGAAAGATGATATCGAAGTTGAGAAGCATATTTTTTCTTATTTTACAAGGTTTATTTAATCTCATTTTAGAATCTTCAGCAGCTTTGATCAAAACTTCTTTTAAGGTGTTTTCTTGTGAAGTTATTTTTCTTATATTATCACACTTAGCAATTTTAAGAGCACCTGAATCGTTAAATTTCAGAAATTGCTAGTTTCTTAGCGGCAAACAACAAATAATACACACTTAGAAATACCTAATCTTACACGTGACCGAATCCATCTTTGACATAAATGATGAGACGTAAACAAAACATGGCATGTATAAATGCTCCCAGACTGAAAAGTTCGAAATTACGATTGGTTGAGCTGAATTTCGCGTCTATTATGACTCAATTTTATGTCAAAATTGACGCTCGTATATGTCAGTCTCAGAGCACCTAAATTTACACAATTATTTCTAAGGGTGTAGTTTCTATTACTTGCATTCACGAAAAGCTTAATATTATGACTTGTGAAATTGCGAAGTGTAATGCAAAAAGGACGCTATAAGAAATCACCTTAAAAGCTTCATCAAAAGCTTCTTCTAGATAAACTTTAATCGGAAGCTCCTTCTAGATGCTTTATTCAGATGCTTCTTCTAGAAGCTTTATTCAAAAGCTTCATTCAGAAGCTCCTTCTAGATGCTTTATTCAAAAGCATCATTCGGAAGCTTCTTCTAATAGCTTTATTCAAAAGCTTATTTTAGAATTATCCCTTAGACGCTTTTAAAAACTAATTACAAACATTGTACTGTGGTCCACAAGCCGTATTAACCGCTATCCACGTTTAATTATTGTTTTGCTTTTTTTACACCGTGTTGGTACCGTGTTGCTTGGTACCTCGTCACACACATAACAGTTAAAGTGAAAGGGGACGTCATTAATTTTCAAAAATTCAAAAGCAGTCTTTTCGTTCAAAACCAAATTTACGTTCATGAAAATGCATTGCATTCTTCTTGCCAACCGGAGCACAGTGAACACATTTTCATTGACAGAATTTTGGTTTTAAACTAAAAAACTGCGTATGAATTTTCAAAAATTATTGATGTCTCCTATCCCCTTAAGGAATAAATTGTCTGTGCCTGCATAGCCTATGAGTCGACTCAAAATTGAGTATATGTTCACTCATATTCGCAAGAATGCACGTTAAAGGGTGTTACAATTAAAATAAGGTCAAACAAGAATGCGTATAAATTGGTTGAATTCGGCCAAAACAGCACGAAATAATCGTGTTGCTTCAGGAAAGGCAGCAGACTTTTTTTTCCAGACAATCGTTCTCGTAAATTTCCTGATTGACGGTCCCGGTTGCAATGAAATCTGTCGGTTTTCAAGTGACAGGTACATATATCCTGCCAAACCAGATATTTCTTAGCAAACTTTGTCAGTTTCATATGCTTTAAAACGTCTGCCACCTTTCCCCTTCCAGTTACCGTATAAAACTCCTGCGCAGTTTTAACGATTTTACTAACTCGGCGTGCGAGTAGTTCTGATTTTCGCAATGCGCATGCAATATTTTGATGCGTTGCTGCTCTTGCTTGGACGCCATTTTGATAACTGAATAGCAATTATCAAAATCAAAATAGAAGCATCATTCTGCACGCACACACCTACAAAATGATGGGTGTTCAGGTTTTTTAAATGCTCGATTAAAAGAAATGTGTCAAGTTTAGACAACCAAATTTTGACCGTAACACCTTTTACTCATAGACTGAGTAAAATCTGGGACGGGACTTGACAATCGGGTAGAGATTTCGAGCCAATTTGCTGTCAAATCAGAACCAGTTTATGATTGGACGATTTAACAGTAGCAATCGTGGAATAAAAAGGACAGAGGGATCGCATCAATCTGACTGGCAGTGATACCGGAATCAATGTTGACGTCAATGGCGTTGTTAATTGTTTATATATGCGAAAGGAAAGTTGAAAATTTGAGTGCACTGTGTTTTTTAAGTGATGGATATTGTTGTTTGTTTATGGTTGTTTTTATTGTGTTGAGCAAAAATGACGTACAAGCTGCTAAAGTGCGGTAGAAACTCCGAGTAAAATCCAAATTAAAATACAAAAAAATATTTTACATTCCTGCCATCATTGGTCAACTCCATCAAACACCACGCACAACTTTCCGAAGGGCATTCTTCAAAAACATTAAGAAGAGTGAGAAGCTCGATTGTCAATTCCCGTCCCGGAGTAAAATTTTCTTCGATATCCCTAAAAAAATGCTTGAATTTGACTGAGTACAAATTCCTGGACTGAGTAAAAATTTCTTTGAGTATCCTCATATTCGAGCAGGTTTTTGAGGAGATTGCGGAAAATTTTACTCAATCCATGTGTATCCAGCGTTTTGCAAAGCAAAGCTCTATTTTGAGGCCTTTCTTGTTCTCTTTGTACATTAACGACCTCCCTCAAGCAGTAAGGAGTTGCAAAATGTATCTATTTGCAGATGATGCTCAGTTATATTTTGACTGATTTTTATTTAAAATTTGTCCTTTCATAAGACTGTTAAGCTTCCTTTGTGTCATAGCGAATCAAAACAAACATTGTGTAGTAGTAGAATTTCGACTCGAATGGGGTACGTTAATCGTTTGCTTGGGACCAATAGGTTAGTCAAGTAGTGAGCCAATTTAAAATCGTTAGTTTCGTATTGATTGTTGGTCAAAGTACGCCTGCGGGGCCCAACATTCAATACGTTAGAGTTTATGATCTTCTACCAATGATCCCAGATTACAATCTAGCGTTGGTGCTGGGGAAATGTGGTGATATGAAGTGTGTCATTCTGGATAAATTCCTTGACTTGAGCCTCGGCATAAAGGGTGTCCACGATGAAATTGCCACACTATGAAATTGCTCTAACTTTTTAACCGTTGGGTAGAATTTAATGAAAATTTGGGTGGATTTAGTTCATAGTGCATTATTTACATCCTGCAAGTTTTAAAGTCCTGTGATCAAAACTCGCGGAAATGGAGTCGAAAGAACAGCTCGTACGTGATAAAATCTTGCGCATTCATCACGAGAACAAGGATCTCTCGCATCGTTCCATCGCTAAAACGTTGGGAATCGCGAATTCCACGGTGTCGCGAGTGATTAAGCGGTTCGAGGAACGGTTGACCACCGATCGGAAGCCCAGAAGTGAAGGAAAAAGTATTCCGTACAACACCAAAAATCACAACGGCGTAGTTGGGGCCTTCAACCGAAATCCGAACGCCTCCGTTAGGGATGTGGCTAAGAAGCTGCACCTAAGCCGAAGTTTTGTCCAGAAGGCCAAAACTAAGGCTGGGCTTCGAACGTTCAAGGTACAAAAGGCCCCTAATCGCGACGAGAAGCAGAACAAGTCCGCCAAAACCCGTGCCAGGAAGTTGTACCTCAACATGCTGACGAAAGTTGAATGCTGCATCATGGACGACGAAACATATGTGAAGGCCGACTTCAAACAGATCCCCGGCAACCTGTTTTTCACGGCCAAGGATAAGTTCAGCGTTCCGGAGCATGTCCGCACTCAGAAGATGTCCAAATTTGCGAAGAAATTCCTGGTTTGGCAAGCCATCTGCACGTGCGGGAAGCGGAGTGCACCTTTCGTGACCCAGGACACGATGAACGGACAGGTGTACATAAAAGAGTGCCTCCAGAAGCGACTGCTTCCTCTCCTGAAGGCCCACAACGTCCCAACAATCTTCTGGCCGGATTTGGCCTCATGCCACTACTCCAAGGACGTGCTGAAGTGGTATGCGGACAATAAGGTCAATTTCGTGCCGAAAATGTTCAACCCTCCCAACACTCCGGAGCTCCGCCCCATCGAGAAGTACTGGGCGATTATGAAGCAGCACCTTCTTAAACGACCTAAGGTAGTGAAGACAGTCGAGGAACTGAAGAAAGTATGGGTTTACATGCAAAAAACGGTTGATTCACAGGTTGTGCAGAATCTTATGGCCGGGGTTAAGGCCAAGGTGCGGGCATTTGCGTATGGACTGTAAATAAAATAAGAGTAAAATGGTAAAATGAAGTTTAATAGTTATTTCTCAATCCCTGAAAATTTGATGGCAATCGGATGAAAACTCGAATTTTGCGAATCAATTTTGTGTGTGGCAATTTCATCGTGGACACCCTTTATACACAGGTGTACGGAGTGTATGTATGGACGTTTAAAAGGAAATTCCCACAGGGCAGAGGAATATATTATACCAAGGGTACAAAAACATGTGTTTCTTATGTAAAATAGAGAGACATCGGATGAATTCCTGCTCAAGTGGAAGAAGCCAGTACTGCAACAACAGGAAGAAGAAACCCAACAACGGCACGG